GACCACCTTCCAGGTGTTTTTGAATACCTGCATATCATTTTTAAAACTTCAATTTAAAATAATGCTAATGTTTTCAACAGGTTTGACTTTATAATATTTTAGAATTTATATTTTGTTATTGTGTAACTTTAAATTATGTAACATGCAAAAAAATAAGAAATTGTTCAAATTTGCTTTTCTGTGCAGCTCTGAGTAGTCTCCTATGTAAACAATGCACATAGTGAGTTTAATACTTTTTCTGAAAATACCAAAGAATAAGTTAGTTTCTTACAAAAATAAAATAAAACCTCCATTAAGAATATGATTATCGAGGTTTTGTTTTTCTTGAAAGTTGTTCCCCCACCACCACCATTTTATGCAACGTAAAGTGGTGTGAGCAGTAATTCCTGGTTTTGCTGTAAAGAAACTAGATAGAACTCATTAAAAGTGAACAAAGGAATCTGATTGGAAATTTAAAAAAGCTTAGGAACAAACCACAGATCTGCAAGTGTTTAATTTCTGTAGTCTTTCTCTGAAAATCTTGTTAAATTATGTTTTAAGGTTATGGAAAATTTCCTCTATGAAGAGACATCAAGTTAACATTAATATTCAATAAGTAAGAATTTGAGTAATTGGAATATTTTTGCCATCACCTCCAATACTCACTAAACCTAACTAAGTTTAGTTTGACTTATCGTAGAAGGGCATTTCTGTAACTTTCAAGTGCATATACTTTTACACAAAAAAATGTTCAGAGATAAAAAGAATACCTAAAGAAGCTATATTAAAATACCAGATCTGTGACTTGATCCTAAATCTTCTAAACTTCCCATTAGATACTTTTATTCACTTTACAGATGTTCCTGCTGAGCATTCTCGAGAAACCATAAATTACTACTCACACCACTTTATTTACTTTATAAATAGTTTATAATCTATTCTATCCAATCATATTTAAAAGTTTTTTGTAGCCAATATGATACCAAATGTGTGCTTCATTAGTTATTGTTCGGGTCACATTCAGAAAAAGGTTAGAATGAAGGGCTGTAGTAATAAAATCATTGACAATAATTTCAAGGGATGTTAGAGTCTTAACAAATACAAATGTGCTTTGAAATGGGCAGAAAGAGAAAAAAAAGTGCATTGTTTATAGATACTTTTTTCTTTCTGTAAATTACATCAAATAAATACAATAAAATATCAATTCTTAAATGTGTTTGAATTAATTATAATAGTTAGAATTATAATATGTACTTTGATAGGCAAGGTATCTGTTCAACACCCGAAAGGTGCTCTGTGGCATGGATAAGGTTAATGGCATGTAGCATTA